TATATACAGCACATACTTACACTGGAAATATGAAGAAAATACTGACCATCANNGTTTACCATTCATATAAGGTTCAAACCAATTCACAATATTGCCTGATGTTGCAACAGTCTTATCCCATAATCTTAATTTCTTTGATTAGTGGTGATGGATTTCCACTACTCACATCAGAGTATATCGCATATCATGAGCAGTCAGAAAGCCTCAAAGGTCTGGAATCGTGAAAAAGCCCAAACTAAACCTCAAGCTCCGAAGCAAGTTTTATGAATTTTCAGTCTAAGGGCATGACGTTTAAGGACCTTAGTATACATGAAAACACAATAGAAGACACGACATCACATATCGTACATTACAACAACGCAGCAGGAGACTTCCGGCTTGTAACAGTTTCAGTTGCACCATGCGAGTTCCCCCACTCCCCAGACCCACCGATGGTGGATGAGGGTGGGGGGAGGCGAGCATATACATACACATATATATATATATTATACATTATATATAGATAGAGAACATAATATATAATATATATAATATATAGTATGTATATATATATGTATAATATTGACATATATATATATGTATGTATGTATGTATGTATGTATATCTTTGTAAGCATCACATGCTGATCTACAGTCGTCGAAAATGAAGCTACGGCAAATGTCATAACCGCCTGAAGCCCTTGTAAACAGCGACAGCCCGCTTCGGCAGCAGGTGCACGAAGCCAAGAAGCCTACAGCAGGCCACAGTTTTGGCGAGGGCATGAGTGGGCCGAGGTTGCCCCCCAACAGGACTCACAGATTGGTCTATCTGCCATCCTTTCCTATTCGGATTCAGGGCTGTTCTTCTTTCTCTACAGCCACCTCTGCAAGGATCATGGGGGTTGGCAGGAATTTGCAGTTTCTATGTAGATTGATCTCGAGTGTCCCTTGGAATATTGGAGGTTTCAAGTCCCTCTAAGCTGAAGACATTGGGTTTTGAGGCTTCAAGTGTTGGAGGTTGCCTGGAGTTGGGGAGTCAAGGTTCAAGGGTTTAAGGGTTTAGGGTTTAGGGGCTAGGGTCGTGGTGGGGATACCCTACACCGAAGACGGCAGAGACTTTGGGGGGGGGCTCCACCATTCGAACCATGGAGTCAGGCGCCGCTGCTCCAGCAGATCCCAAGGTTCGGCTGGCCTCTTGAGGGCTCCTTAGAAAGGGGTTCCTTGAAGGGTTCCCTCCACAGGGATCCCTAAAGAAGACTTCTTATAGGGATCCCTACACTGGTTCTCCTCGTATCATGAGCGCATCGCAACCCTAAGCCCTAAACCCTAAACCCAAAACCCTAACCGGGTTTCAGTTTTGAGGGGGTGGGAGAAAAGCTCTCTCTCGGCGCGTGACGTTCAAGCTTGTTTCGATGGGCTTTTGTCCGCGACTCGACCCCTACACCCCTAAAGCCTTCAAAGCCTTAAAAGCCCTGAACCCTAAGCTCTAAACCCCTAACAAGGCCCTAAAACCCCTAAACCCCTCAACCCCTACACCCCCAGAGCCCCTAAAACCCCCAAGCCCCTAAACCCATCAGGGGCTTCGATCGCCTGGGCTTCTGGGCCAGGCCCCGGACTCCGTTGCGGTTTCGGGATGCCGCCGTGGCGAGCCTGGGGCTTGGGAGCAGCTTTTTGGGGAGCCGGGAGGCTCTAGGGCTTTAGGGTTTTAGGGCTTCAGGGCTGTAGGGCTTTAGGGTTTAGGGTTTAGAGTTTAGGGCTTTAGGGCTTTAGGGTTTAGGCCTTGAGGGCTTCAGGGCTTTAGGCCCCTTTCCGGGTTTCAGGCTTTCGGCGGTTTTTTTGGGAGGTTGTTGGTTTAAGGTTTCAGGGAGAGTTTCGAGTTTTATGGGGGTTTGCCAGTAGGGGACTCCCGGTTTGAGGGGTCGCGGGTTTTGCTTTGTGAGGCGGTTTGGGGAGGCCTTCGAGTTCGGGGTTTAGGGTTTAGGGTTTAGGGTGTTGTTGAAGGTTTGTTCTCTGACTGGGGGTCCCTTTAGGGTCCTTTATCTAAGGGTGCCGGACCGTTTGGTGGGACCTAGGAAAGGGACTCTAATGTAGAGAAGTAACTACACATGTTGAGGGCTTGGGAGCCGGGGGCTCTGGCGATGAACGCAGGATCTTGCTCAAAGCATTGGAGGTCTATCCTAAACCCTAAACTTAAAGCCGAAACATTGAAGCATCATGTCCAGATTCTTGTGTGGGCTGAGGTGCCAAGTCTTACATATGTCGGCCTTCGCTTCAAGATGCTAGATCCAACACCTCCTAACTTCGAACCCCAAGCAACCCTGGCCCTACAGCTGCGTAGTGTTGTGTGATGGAAGCTTTGCAACACCATGTGTGAGGCTGCCGCCGACAGGGTGGAGTACGAAGTGGACGCCTGTGCCGGTCCTAGCTTCAAGATCTCCATTGCATGGTGTGCTCGATGGTAGTCGTTGTAAGTTTTTTCCGCAAGTGTGTTGCTTAAGGCTGTCATGTTTAGACAAACGCTGCATGACCCATTTTGACAATGAGGTTTTGCTGCAAGCGCTTGTTGCCTGAGCCATCCCTGCGACGCACGCCCTGATCACGCAGTGCCTGAGCCGAGGCGACGAAGCATGCTGCACTCCTTGCTGCCATTGAGGAGTCGCGGTCCGAGCTTCTTTGCTGAGCCTCGCATGGACAGAAGCCGCAAAGCGGACATCCCAAGCCCTTAAACCTTAAACCAAAGCCCTAGACTGCTAAAGCCCAAACCCCAATGCGTCGTGTATCTTCGCGCATCTGGGAACGTTCCGCATTTACACTGCGTGCAGAGCTTCCAGCCATCAGCAATTGAAATCAAAAGGCGCGTCAAAACCGCGGTTGATGATATAAATCCTGCATTGCCCATAACAAGGACTATACCATAATTCTCACAGTTTAGGGTCCTTAAGGTGATGCAGGATTTATATCATCAACAGTATCACAAATCGATCAGGATGCCAAGCTTCGCAACTTTTTAAAACCCAAGCCTTCGACTTCGTTCGGCCAGCGACCCTCCACCTTGAACCTCAGAAGCTTCTCCGGGCCATAGCCATAAATCCTGGGTTTAGGGTTTAGGGTTTAGGTTTTTAGGGTTTAGGGACCCTGAACAAAGACTGTCACGCATAGAAACTCCGCAAGCAGTGCACCGGCAAGCGCCAAAAACCCCAACCGCAGACCCTGGACTTTGCTTTCGCCTTCTGTGAAGCCAAAGGCTCTCAGCGTGCTTGCTTGATGTCCGCGGCCCGTTCATCCGAGCTATCTCGTACATGTTTTCAGAATTTCAACATATGAAGAGCTTTAGAAACTTCTACAGTTGAAGCCCCATCGGGCCGGACTCTTAGCCCCTGAAGCCGACGGCTACCGGCCTAGCTCCGAGACCCTAGAACCTACAGAACGTCAGACAGCGATCAGCTGCCAGACGGAGTTGTCGAAAGGCGTCTCAGAATTCAGCCTCGCCAAACCCTAAACCCTAAACCCTTGAATGCGGTGGTGCTTTCGAGGCTTTGAAGTTGAGGGGATCTCTAAGCTTTCTGGTTGCCGTCCCCCTTTTCTTTCCCTTGGTGTCCGTGGAAAAAGAGCCATGATCCGCGTTTTCATGGCTTCCGGAGAGGAGCTCATTGCAGCCCCCGTGGAGGATGGTCAAGGGTTTCACGTTTTCGGGACTCTCGGGTTTAGGGCATACGTATGTTGGGTTTCAGAGTTTTTTTCTGTGTTAGGTTTCGGGTTTTTGGGCTTCGGGTGTAGGTGGTATTGACGGGCTTGAGTTTTTCTTCGACTGGCTGTAGGGCTTCTGGTTCTTTTCCGCAGGTGCTGTGCACCATTGCACAAACACCGTACATGCCAGACCCGAGACAAAGCCTTTTTCTAGGGAAAGGTCTCTAGTGGCATGTACTCGTGCAGCGCACCCCATGTGAACACCTGACTCTTTCTTGTCTTATGAACCCATCCTAATACCTCTAGACACTCAGCCGCAGTCTTCATGCACTCCAGGAGAAACCCTAGACCCTAAACCCTAAACCCCAACTGATGTGAGGAGTTGAGCGATGTCCGCACCCTGAAAACCCGCCTGGCGGGTCTCTGCAGTGTGCCGCGCTTTCGGCAGAAGCTCCTTCTTTCGGACGGGAGCCTTTGCCGGCAACTCGGGGGGCCTAATGTAGGGGCCTTAATAATTACCTATATTATTTTTGGGGGTTCCTTATTATAATAATCGTATAATGGGCCCCAAAACCCTATTCCAATTATTAGGGCCCCTGTATTATCCTTTGGAGCCATCAGAACAAGAAACGGCGCCCAAGGCCGCAACCTTTCATGAAAATGCTTGTTATGCCGTCGCTGAGCCTTGAAATCTTTGAATGCTCAATCATCTCGGCTTCCCTAGCCATGATCCCCCAAATGCCAAAAGCCGAACACTACGACCGTCATCACAAGCTCCCTGAACCTTGAAATCTATGTTAGTGGCTTAAACTCAATTTGGGATTGAGTTGACTTCTTCCGGAGACGGTGAGGCTTACTGACTTACTGCGTTCGGGTCGTTCAGGCCGCTGAAGCTTAAGTTGAAGGTTGAGAGTCTGGCATTTAGAAGATTCAGACCAGTTGTTAGACTGCAGGGCTCAAGTTGGTTTACAGTAGAAGCCCAAAAGTTGGAAACCCCACAGCCTCAATCCGTAAGCGTAACGTAGAGGGAATCCCAGCACCATTGGTCCTACTTGTATATCCGGTTTCCAACTGTTTGGGCTTTGCTATAGGTGTTCAGGGCTTGGGATATCTTGATGAGCCTTGCAATCACGCATGCAGTACACGAACGCATTACGGTTGAAACTGCCGGTATCTTGTGATTGAACCGCCTGGCAGCCAGTTGTGGCCTTTTTTGTTATAGATTCTATGTTAGGGTTTATAATAAGAACCTACAAAAAAGTAGGCTATGGTAGGGTAAGCCTTAAAACTCTCGGAAGGACCAGTCTTGCCGATTGGAGCACGCTGGATCAGCCCATGGATCTGCAGCTTGTGCTTCTTCCCTTCGGCGCCTTGGTTCGCGAGAGTTCTCTGCATGGCGTCTGAAAGTTCCGGGTCAAGTCCTGAATCCTGGAGAGAATCTGACGGTTCCCGATCTATTGTCGTACTGTTGATGATATAAATCCTGCATTACCTTAAAGGACCCTAAATTATGGATAATACAGTATATTCCTTGTTATGGGCAATGCAGGATTTATACCATCAACCGTATGAACTTCACCAAAGATCGAAAACCCGAAGACCTTGCTGTAGAACCCTCAAGCCTCATAAAACCCAAGCCCGAGGTCCCCAACCCTAAACCCTAAAACCCTAACAAAAAACTAAACCCTGAACCCTAAACCCTAAACCCTAAGACCCTAAAACCCTAAAACCCTAAAAAACTAAACCCAGAACCCTAAACCCTGAACCGTAAACCTTAAATCCTAAATCCTAAATCCTAAACCCCAAACTCCGCCTCCTGGCGTGCAAGCCCGATTTCTTTCGCTTCGACACCGAGGCTATGCAAGCTCGGAACAAGCGCAGGAGCTGATCGACATGGCCAGCTCTGGCAGAGATTCCGAGGTCTGGGTGCATGAAACTCATACGAAGCTTGAATGATGAGTAGCAATATCTCTCCTTGTAGTCCGTATGTAACTATCTTAAATTGTCGGGCTCTCAGATTTTGTGGGTTTCGGGGATCAGTGGCCTTACGGAAGGGGTGCAGGCTAAGATGTAGTTTGCGTTAACGCCTCAGCAACGCTGTGTTTTCCACCTCTCTCTCGGTAATTGGTACACACCATCGAAAGCCTTCGGCTGAGTGTTTCAATGCCTCTTGTCAATTTGTTCGGGCTCCGGCTCGTAATCGACACTTTTTCAGAAGCCCAAAACCCAACACTACACCCCACGCGCACGAAGCCCCAAACATCTACCATGACACCTCAATCTCCGAAGCCCATCTCAGCTCTGTCGGTATTCTCCGCTAACTCCCTTCAGACTCTCCCTTCACGTCATGGTCAGGGTAAGCTGGCCCACAGTGGAGAGAGGGGGGAGGTACTGCTTGCAGGGTCACCGGGCTTCCTCGAGAAGTGGCGGCATCTAGTCTTCCTTCGGATCCCAATTCCGCCCGAAGGGAGGCACCGGTTTCTACCCTTGGTGCCCTCGCCCTCAATTTGCCTGGAAGGTTGAGGAGATGATGAACGACTGCCTGCATCCAGACGTCGCGTACAATGGAGGAAGCTTGCTGAGAGCCGTTACAGTCACCCCAGGCTCAGCCCATGAACCCTACAAGCATTCGCCCAAAAAACCCACACACAGAGAGCCCTAAACTCCATCCTTAGAATCCCAGACTCTCTAGACCGCTGATGTGAGGAGAAACTGCTCTCTTCGTAGCATCCCGGAAGGGCCTCGTATCGACGGTGAAGCTCCTCTTGGAGGCCTGGGGCCAAGCCCGAACCCTCTTCCTATCTCCCCCTGGATCTCCTAATCTCCTACGCCCTGAGAGCGGGGCACTGAACGGTTTAGGGTTTAGGGCCTTTAGGGTCTAGGGCCTTTAGGGTTTCTGGCCTTTAGGGCTTAGGGCCTTTAGGGTTTAAGGGTTTTAGGGCCTTTAGGGGTCTAGGGAAAGCCTGAACCTTTGCATGCCAAACCCTGGACTTAACTCCTCAACCCTGCCTTACACGCTACCCTGCAAGGCGAACGCAGTCCCAGACAGGCTGTCCAGGAGCAACCGCATAGGCCCTGCCTTGTCCCCGAGCTGCAAGCACGGGTTGGGAACCCTAAACCCTAAACAGTTTTTCTCTGTGGCCATCTCTGCAAAGTGGGCGCTGAGGAATGTCGCGTGCTTCGCGGGCCACGCGGGTGTGACACAGCTGCTGCTGGAGGGACGTGAGCTGCCCCTGAATCTGGCATGCTTCAAGGGAAGTGCCGAAACGGTTCAACATCTCTTGGATGCAAAGGCAGACAAGGACGCAAAAGGGCAACAGGGCTTCACCCCACTGCTTGAGGCCTGCTCCCGAGGAAACGTGTCCGTGGTGCGACTCCTCTTGGAATCTCGTGCGAACGTTGATACAGTCTGCTGCTCTGACGATGTGTCCTACGGCGAAACTCCGCTCTACGTGGCTGCGCGGTCGGGCTACGTCGAGGTCGTGCGGCTCCTGCTGCAGGCGGGCGCCGACACCGAGAAGATCTGCGGGATGCAAGGTGGGAGTTTCGGACAATCAAAGTATCAGGGCCCCGTGATGTCCCTAGTTGCAGCTGGAGCTTTTATAGGTTTGCCCTGAGCCCTAAACCCAGGGCTCACCGCCTTGGACATGGCTCGCCGGAAGAGTCGGATGCAGACGTGGCTTCTGCTGTTTTCGGCGAGCACTAGGAAGAATCCGCTTGCCGGGTCCTGCCTGAAGCGGATGCGAAGCTTCCTTGCAAGACTGCTGTCTGGATGGAGGGCGAAGAGGCTGTAGCGTGATTTCACGGCATCACTGCCTGTCTCGGCTGAGAGGAGACCAGTCGGAGCTACTGCAATCGGTTTTCAACGGTTCAGGATCCAGGGTCAGCCCTCATCGTCTCCTTAATCATTAATGTCATCGACCCCTGGGCCCAAGATCCGGCCCCACCGACCCTTTTCAACGTGTCCACAGCTGACAACATCGCTCCGCCACATGTGGGGCAAAGAGTTTTCGACATGCCGCTGGGAAAAGGATTCAACTGCGCGTGGCTTATGGTTTGGGGTGAAGGCGGCTTTTCCGGGATAGGCCTACAAACGCCAAGCTCATGTGCCCTAACCTCGCAACGTGACTTTGACAGCTCAGTGTTCACCTGAGAAGACACGTTGCTAAAGCTTACAATCCCAAGAGACGATAGCATTGATTCCAAGCCTCACCATCCAGGTTTCTTGTTCGAGCCAATAGTAACTGGAGTACCAGCGTGATGACAGTAGATGATAACCCTAAACCCTAAACTCTAAACCCTAAACTCAGGCCTACCCGTAAGTCAAACCACCTGCGCCACGAACTGGGACTCGATGAATGTTCGGCTTGGGACTTTGCAGGTCGTCTTTCTGTTCAGGGTTGAGGCTGGGCAGAGCCCACCTCCAGTTTCAATGACGTCTAACCTTGGTCTCGAGCCCTCACCATAAGACCCTAAGCTTTCCACAGCGCCGTCATAGACATCAAACAGAGACCCTGGACTCTAGACCTACCTGGAGTTCCAAGCCGCTGCCGATGAGGTCGCAGATGCACGTGGTGTATGCTCTGAGGCCAGGCAGTGGTGTTTGTTTTGTTTTTTTTGGCTCGAGGGGTTTAGATTTCTTGCAGAAGGTCAACAAAACCTCGTAAAGACCCCCAAAGCCTGAACCTCACAGCCCTACAGCCCATGAGCCCCAGCCGGGTCAGGCCGCAATCCGACGTGTGGCAGGAGAGCATCCAATCCGTGAGCCTGGAGCAGGTGGGCTTCATCAGGCTTAGTTAGGGGCTCAGAGGGTTTAGAGGGACGGCTTTGGGTTTGGGTTAGGGCGAGGTTTTGTATGTTTGAGGGTTCAGGGACTGTAGGATAGGAGCCAGGGCGAACAGCTTGAGATTAGGGCGTAGGTGTCAGGGTATGAAAGTGCTGGCCACTGCAGAAGCGAGCACAGGTCAAGTCGGGCACTCACTTCCTGCGACAGAGCAGAGAGAGAGACAAAGAGAGACAGAGAGAGAGAATGGATACAAGTTTGCCTGTGCAGGCTATGGGCTTGTCTGAACAATCGGAAATAGTCCTAAGCTCTATAGTCTACCCATTCCGGCCTCTATCTTGGAGTATGGTCCCCCTGGGGCGCGCCCTACGTGCGCGCGC